AAGAATTAACAGTACAGACACCTGGGATTTTTCTTTCTGCCTTGTTTCTTTTTCTTAAGTCAATTTTGAAAGTCTGTGTGATTCTTAATTTGTCTACTTCAGTAAATTGTCTAATTGATTGGCGTAGTCTATTTTATTATCTTTTTTATTTCTTTAAATTGATAGCAATGCCATCAACCTTTTTCATTCCTAATTTCAATAACTTTTGCTTTCTCTCTTCTTTCTTCTCAGTCTAGATAAAGATGTCAACTTTGTTGCTCCTTTCAAAGAACTGAGCTTTGGTTTTGTTGACTTTTTTACTTTTCTATTCCTGAGTCTTTTATTTGATGCTATGATTGTTATTTTCTTCTTTCTTTGCTTTTTCCCTCCTCAGTGGCTTAAGGTGGAAAGTCAGGCTATATCTTTTTCAATATTAAACGTCCCCTCATAAATTTTGGTGGGGTTTGTCTTCATTTTCATTATTCTCAAGACATTTTTTCAATTTTCTGTATAATATTTAAGTCATACTTTACTTAGGGGATGTGTGGATTAATTTCCAATTGTGAATTTCTGACATTTCTTTCAGCTACTGATTTTTAATTTTGTTCCCTTGATTTAATTTCATTCACACTCAGTATGACTTCAGTCCTTCATGTGTTGAGTTTATAGCACAAGCAAGGATGTTTCTATTCCTGTCACACCTGTTAGTGTAGTCCAAATGTCCACAGGTGAGCAGGACTTGCTCTCCAGAGCCTCCCTTACCAGCTCCCTCCAAGCCTCCTCCTTCCAAGTCCAGACTATCCCTTCTAGTCTGGAGACAAGGTAAGGGACAGCCTTTCAGGTGCCTCTGGCATAGAGACACAGATTCCCAGCCATCAGACCCCTTCTGATCTGCAGGAACCAAAACCTCCTATCTTCTAGACTGTCATACCCTGAGGTAGCTGGGTTGGCCTGCAGAGAAGAGACCAGATGCAGGGCTGCATCTCCACCCTGCGTCCAGTCCCCGCTGCCCCTGTTCTGCTCCCCTCTCTGATGGCCACCTCTCCCTTGGGCTGTTAGTGCTCCCCACTGAGTGTGACCTTCACACCAGCCCCATCCCATGGCCCACTCAGGGTCCTCTCTTCCATCTCCACATGTGGTCTCCCTTTCCTCTCAGGTTCTGATGGGCTCCCAGAGAGCTTTCCCAGGCCAGCCCACTGCTCCAAGGCACCCAGGTACCACAGTCCCCCGAATCCTCCCTTGCACTCTGAACCTCCTTGTGAGTGGCCTAGGGAATGTTCCTGTGTCTTGATGCCCCCAGCCTGGAGAAGTCCATTACCTCACCTTATTTCCCGCAGGCTACAGCACAGCATCCCCAACAGGGGGTGTCCCTGGGGCATGGCTGGGCACTTTAGCATCACTGCTGGGCTGCCTTGAGAATCCCAAAACCTCTGGTGGAAAGATGCTGCCCCAAGCAGGAGCAGCAGGAACTCACCAGATTCTGCTCAATGAGTTAGCTCTGATTTGAGGCTTATGTGCTACAAACATGGCTACTTAATTAGTGGCAGGAGATAACTTTAAATCAATGCTGCAGAGACACTGATCATTGGTCACTTGATCAATGATTATTTTTATAAATCAATATTGTCACTTTAAGAAAAATTGCTTGATTAGGAAAATCAGGCATAGCTGAAGATCATATCACATCTGGATACTCAAATCTTGAAACGCTTTTGCTTTTACTGTCATGTTAGCAGAAAATTATTGATCAGAGATTTTAAACATGCTGATTGGACTTTGGAAAGTTGGAAACCTAAAGAGGCCAGTGGTCATTTTGCTTGTGAAGTTAGGATCACTTCAAATTAGCAATGGCCCCTTCTTCGGTTCCATGCAACAAACCCTTACTTTCTGCCCTTGGCCATTGAGAGAAGTCACAGGCTTTTTCTTATTCTCTCAGTTCTCTGTCAATGTGTTCCACAATCCCAAGAAATGCTTCATTAACCATCTGTAGGCCTTCCAGCCACTCAGGAAGCAAGTTCTCTACAATGAGCTCACTGTGCCTCACCACCACCCCCTGCCAGGGCCCTGGAGGCACCACAGGAGCTGGGTCCAGCCTGTTGGTGCTGACTCTCATCTCTACAGACACTTCATTTGCTCCGTCCTCAAGGGAAGACCCCACAGGGTCGGCACGGTCGACATTAGTAATGATGTTTCATGCCAATCGTGAGCTTCCCAAGTGACCTGAAGAGCATAGCGAGGGTCTCTGGAGTATTTCTCCCCCAAGCCATAACTGATCTAATTGCTAATCATAAGCTAAAAAAAAAATAGCACAGAGATCTCACCAAGGTCCAAAATGACCTGATCAGTATTCCTCAGAACTATCTCATTTCATCAAAAGCAAAGAAATCTGAGAAACTACCTCAGTCCAGACAAGCCTAGGGAGACCATAAATTTAGCATGGATGGGAGACATCCACAAACACTCCGGAAATGTGAGTGGATCAATATTGGTTCCTGGACAGAACGACCATGCCACACCAGAGTGAGATGCTAATGAGAGAGAACCTGGGTGGGGGTGAATCCAAAAACTGCTACAAAGTATACTCTCTTTAAAAAGATGCCACTTTCCTACAGGGACTGTTGCACAAGGCCCTCAGCTAAGCCATCCGTAGGGCACCCCCTCAGGGCAGATGTCAAGGCAGGATCTCTCACCACTGTTATCTTCATTGAGACCCAGCATCCTGGAGCCTGTGGCACCTGTAACCTCAGGTGCCCTCCTGTTTCTGTGCCCTCCGGGTTCTGGTCATGCCTCAGCCTGGGACCATGCCCTGCAGGGACCTCTGTCTACTTCCATGTGGGCAATTGCTCCCTGAGGGCCATTTCTGGGGGCACCAGGCTTCCCTAACAACCTCAGCATCCACCCCAAGGGACAGCCTCCACTTAAAGGTCAGTGACAAACAAAGGAGATCCAGAACAGAGAGAAACAGATTCTACCCTTGTGGCTACACCACATGTCTTCCTCGAGATGTGGACGTCGGAGTTTAGATGGGAGGGGTCAGCACCAGCCTCTCTATCCACGTGAGTTACTGTATCCCTCTATACCGTCCTTTCTTTTGATCTACCTACCTTTTTTTTTTTTCCTTCTTTTTTCTGGGTTCTTCTAAACAGAGATTTGGTTTTGCCCTGAACTATTTAATGTGAATGACAATGTTATTGAAATCACTTTGCTCACATCTTTCATGGTTTCAGTTTGAAATTTCAAATGCCAGGGCCTCTGCAGATCTGCTCTGTGTTCTATCTGGGCCGTTGATCCATGTGACACAAACCCAGCCCTGTGGCTTGGGCTCTGAGGCAGATCAGGATCTTGAGGGGACACGGTGGTTTCCTGTGAATCTGATGCAGAGCTCCAGCACAGCCACCTGCAACCCAAGGAGCTGCAGGCAGACAGGATCTGGGGCTTGGGTGCTGCAGCCAGAGAGGCTTTAGGGACTCAGCTGAGCGGTCGTTCATTTTGCATGGGTGCTGGCCTGGGCCACCATGGACCTGCAGAGGACCAACTCACCAAACTTTGCTTATTTGAGGAAGAATGTGGGCCCTGGAGGGACAGGGGATGAGGACAGAGGGTCTGCCAAAAGCCCAGAGCATCCCCATTCTCAGGCTCCCCTGTGGGTGAATAAGGCCCTGACATCTTAAATTAGCAATGTCCGTTCACAGGGGAAGAGATAGGCTCCCTTGGTGTGAGGCCTGTGTTTTCAGGCAGCCCATCTGTGAGCAGTGGGTCTGTGGCCTGCCACCTAACATTCCCACAGGCATTCCTGGATGGGGAGCTGGCACAGGAAGGAAGATGAGGCTGATATTTTGCTTCGTATTGATCCATGTACCCACTCCTTAACCTGAGCCATCCTCCTGCTTGAGGAGGCCTGGGTGGTCAGAGGTGGGTCCTGGGATATGTGTGCACCAGCCTGAGAGCTGAATGGATACGTTGCCCTAGCCATGAGGCTAGGTCTGTTCTTTTCTTGCTGTGTCTCCACTGCCGGCAAAGCCTGACACCTACTGAGAAACAAGCGTCTTCCCTCTTCCCAGCCCAGGGGAAGGAAGTGGCCAGCTCCCCTGCCCACCTCTCAGAGCTCTGCTCATCCCAAGGGAGAGGCCGGGGTGTCTGGGCAGATATGGGCAGCTGTGGTGTTCACGAAAGAGCTTTGTCCAGGTTATAAACCCCCCGAATCTGACAGCTGAGGGCACTGGTCCTCAGGAGCCAACACAATTAGGCTGGACCTAATTCCCCATCCAGGACCCCTAGAGACCCCCAGGCACACCCCTCCCCTCAAAGTACCACCTCATAGCCTGTGTCTGAGAAGCCTGACCCACTGATTCCTCCTCTCTGGGACTCCAAGCCCTGTACCAAGTGACTGGCTTGGTACTTTGCACACCCTGTTGGGGCAGCACGCGAGCTCCCCATGAGCTCCACCTCTCTCTAACATGGAAAGCCCCTTCAGTGGTACATGGAGGGAGAGGGCTGGGGGGCTATTCTGGGTTCCTTGCACAGAGTGCAGAGCTGATGTACTGACCATCTCCCTGGGCTCAGGGACAATGTCACCGTCTTTAAAATTTAAAAAAATTTTCATTAGTACATGACAGTCTTACAGAGGGTTTCATTGTGACATTTCCATATACACATATACTGTACTTGGAATTGGTTCCTCCCCTTCACTGTTCTCCGTCTTCTCCCACTCCCCTTCTTAAAATGACTTTGACAGGTTTCAATGTTCCATTTTCACCCATGTACAGAAAATACCTCAACCACATTCACCCTCCTTTACCCTCTTCGTTTACCACACACACATACACACACACACACACACACACGTCCCTCCCCTAACATGACCTGTTTTACATTCCTGTCCTTCATTGTTTGTTCATTGTTTAGGTCACCATCTTAACTGTGTACTTTCTATATCAATGGTGCCCATAGCAAGCGCTACCAGTCTCTGCAGGACTCCATGTGTCTTATGTGTCCCAGTAACCCCAGAAGCTCACCTGTAAATGGCAGCAAACAATCACACAACTATGGTAGAGTTTGTCCTGCAGGGATTCTCTGGGGACCCTCGACTCCAGGCTTTCTTGTTGGTCTTCTTCCTCCTCCTTTTCCTCCTGGCTCTTTCAGGAAATGTCCTCATTGTCACGGCCATCAGCCTGAATCCAGGCCTTCACACTCCAATGTACTTCTTCCTCACAAACCTGGCCATGTTAGACATCGTCTGTACATCCACCGTCCTCCCCAAGCTGCTGGAGGGGCTGGTGGCCAAGAGCAGCAGCATCTCCTACCGGGGCTGCATGACCCAGCTCTTCTTCCTGACGTGGTTCCTGGGGGCCGAGCTGCTGCTGCTCACGGCCATGGCCTATGACCGCTTCACCGCCATCTGCCGCCCGCTGCACTACAGCACGCTGATGAGCCGGCCCGTCTGTGTCCTGCTCGCGGGCAGTGTGTGGGTGATCAGTGCAGTCAGCACATCTGTGCACACGGGCCTGATGGCACAGCTCCATTTCTGTGGCCCCAACCAGATCCGTCACTTTCTGTGTGAAGTCCCCACACTGCTGCTGCTGTCCTGCAGCCCAACCACCCTAAACAACATCATGATCGTCATCGCAGATGCTTATTTTGGTGTGGTCAACTTCCTACTGACCATGGTGTCCTACGGCTACATTGTGGCCAGCATACTGCGCATCCGCTCAGCCGAGGGCAAGCAGCGAGCCTTCTCCACCTGCTCCGCCCACCTTGTGGTGGTCACCCTGTACTACTCCACCGTCATCTACACTTACGTCCTCCCTGGCTCCGGCTCCTCCATGGAAAAAGGCAAGGTGGTTGCTTTGTTGTACACGGCAGTCAGTCCCACCCTAAACCCCCTCATCTACTCTCTGAGGAACAAGGACGTCAAAGTGGCCCTCAGGAAGGTGATTCCCTCCATCCAATGAGGGAGTGGAAAGGGCCACTGTGGGACTGTTTGAGGTGCTGACCAGCTGATTTCCACATATGACTGAGGAACAAGGAGGTCACCTACACAGCAGGTTTATAGGCAGTGTGCTTCCCCCGGAGCCACCAGCATTCCATGGCACTCAGACATCCCACAGACTGAGGGTGGACACTGTCAGGACTGTGACAGGGAGTACGGGAAGCCAGCAGATGGTGGTCAGGCAGGACCACCTTTCCCTGTGGGGTATCACTGATCAGTTCTTCAGGGTAGGGGTCCAGGTTTGGAATGAGCTGAGGGTCACACCTGCCCATTGTGTCCAACTCCTGGTACAATGTCTCTGACATGGCAAATCTCCATATCTTGCTTTGGAGAAAATCATCCCCACCCTGATTTTGACCACTCCTCTTGGTATGACCTCAGGGAAAACAGTGTGCACCATGATCTGGGTACCCCTGAATGTTGCAGTCTGCCTTGCCTGGTGTGACTTGCTTATTCCCATTCAGAAAAGGGTAGCACCCTCATCGCCATTCTGACTTTTCAGCCATGGGCCAGGTCTCTGTGTTCTAGAACTAGTGTTGACAGAATCATACGGTATAGTGTCTCTTTCATAGCACAGCATTTTTCAGGCTCACATTGTCAGTAGTTTCTTCCTTTCTATTTTGGGTTATCACTAGATTCTTAGATACAGCATGTTTTATTTATCCATTTGCCTGTTGGTTTGTATAGCTCCTAATCTTTAGCAATTCAGAATAAAGCTTCCATGAAGGGTTGCATACAATCCCTCTTGCAGCCATGCTTCCTTCTCTTGGGTAAGCAACTGTGGGTGGCATTCCTGGGTCTCAAAGTATTTGCAGGGTAGTTTGATCCAAAGCATTTCTTCTGGAGCAGTCATTTACACTGCTCGCAGCAGCGGTGCAGTTTCTCCTTGCTTCACACCATCTCCCACTTGTAGTGGTGGATGGAAGAGATTTAAAATTTGAAGTCTAACTTTTCTATCTTGTGCACAGAGCCCCTGTGGATGACCTGGCCTTTAGTTTTCTTTTAATGCACTACTGCTTCATTGGCATTGACCAATTGTTCTGTTTTCATTTTCATGAAGTTCAAAATGCTGCCTGACTTCCCTTTTGTTTAGTTTTTGTTTTTGTTTTTTGGCAATACTAGGATTTGAACTCTCAGCACCTCATGCTTGCTAGGCAAGTGCTCTACCACTGAAACCACTCCACCAGCCCTGTTTTGTGTAGGATTTTTTTCAAGATAGGATCTTGTAAACTACTTGCCCAGGCTGGCTTTGAACCATGATCCTTCTTCTCTCTGCCTCCTGAGTAGCTGGGGTTACAGATGTGAACCAGTGGTGCCTGGCTCCTTTTGGTTTCTCATTTGATGTGTTATCTAGAAAGACATGATTTAACTGCTAAATGCTGGGTATTTTCCAGATATGTTATTGACTTTAACTCTACTGTGATCAAAAACATAATATGACTTAAATACTTATAAATGTGTTGAGACTTGCTTCATAGCCTCCTATGTGGTAAAAGTCCCGAATGTCCTTGCAAAAACAGAATAGTCTACTGTCATTGGGTGGAGCGTCAGGGCCAGCAAAGGCAAACCGCTGATTGAATTATCCAAGCCTGCCATATCTTTGATGATCGGTCAGTTATTGAGAGTTTCAAATCTCCTCCTCCAATTGTTGAGCTGTCTACTTTTCTTTGCAGATACATCAGTTTTGCTCCACATAATTTGAAGCTCTGTTATTGGGAACATAAGTGTTTGTGTCTCACCTATTGCTTCTGCCTTTAGTCTTACACTTTGCTGTCCCTGGCACTGGCCTTTGCTCTAAAATTACTGTGACCTGGTATTACAGTGGTCTTCCAGTTTCATTTGACTGTTAGTGTAGCATACTTTTTCATCCTTTTACTTTTAGCTAATTTATGTGTTTATATTTAAGATATATTTTTTGTGGGCAACATATAATTAGGTCCTGCTTTTTACTCCATTCTTTTAATTTGGATATTCTGACCACTTACATTTAATGTGATAATTGCCCCACTTTTGAAAGATATTTTTACTGAGTATGGAAATCTCAATGTGTTTTTTCTTTCAGTACTTTAAAGATGTTGCTCCTTTTTTGCTTTTGAGAAAAAGTGTAATTCAAGAGGCAAAGTATACTCTGGGTGAAAAAAATGCCCCCTGAGAGGATATCAGGTTTCTTCTTATTCTTAAGGCCCTAAGGTCTGTGAGCATTCTGGTTGTTTCAGCTGTGCATTTTGAGACCAAAACCCAGTGACTTGGTCAGATGGTGATTCTGTGGACGTGGGCATGGGGTGTTGAGTAAAAGTGGACAGACTGCTTCCTCAGCTACTCCTCCTCCTCACATCCCTGGTTTGGATCTTGGGCTGACTCTGAAAGTCATCTCCTTTCTTTTCTCTCCTTACTCTGTTGTCCAATGCAACTCAGTGCCTGACTGTTCTCCAAACAGAACAGATGGAGAATGTCCAATAAAAGGAGACTGTTTTGGTTTGACTGTGAAATTTCCCCCAGAGGCTCATGTGTCAGAAGCATGGTTGTCAGGGGATGGCCTTTTGGGAAGTGTTGGGTCCTAAGGGCTTGGCCCTAATCAATGGATGAATCCCTTGATGGATTCATATGTTGGCATTATTGGAAGGTGGTAGCCCCGGATGGAGGAAACAGATCACTGGGGATATGCCTTGAAAAAATGTTATCTTGTCCTGTGCCCCTGCCTTGTTCTCTACCTTTCTCCCAGGAGGTGAGCTTTGTTGCTCAGCCACACGCTCCTGGCCATAATGTTTAGCGTCACCCATGGCCCAGAAACAACAGAGTCAGCAACCATCCACTAAAACATCTGTCCTTCCTTAAGTCATTTCCTTGGGCTGTTGGTCACAATGCTCTAAAACTAACATAGAAAATTGGTACTAAAGGGGCAGGGGCATTGCTGTGGCTACCAGACCACGGTTATAATTTTAACCAAAGACAACCTTCAGAACTGGTTTGGGGGAGGAATTTGGAGAAGCTTGGAGATTATTTCAGCTAGAGGAATCCAGGAACAGTATAAGCAGAGCCTAATGGACAATTCTGGGTGAAGCTCAGGTGACCAGAATGCCAATAGGAAGGTAAAAAGTAAAGACTGTGCTTGTGAGGATTCAATGGGAACAACGACCCTACTGGGAGCTGGACTGGGACCATTCATGTCACGTAGTGGCAAAGAACATGTCTACATTCTGTCCATGCCATAAAGACCTTGTGGGAGGCTGGGCATAAAGGTGATGGACAAATCAATTTGCTAGAGGAAATCTCAAGGCAGCACTCAGATTATACCTTGGGTTTTCCTGAATGCTTTTAGCCAGATTTAAAGTGAGCATTGGGAGCAAAACACAAAACAGAAAGGATTAAAAAACACAGTTTGTTCAGAAAAGCTTGTGTAAAGTTGGGGCTAAGAGTATTCACAACAGCCAAGCTATGTAAACAGCCCAAATCCCCTACAACTGACCCATGGATTAAGAAAATGTGGTATATATACACAAAAGAGTATTATTTAGCTGTAAAGAAGAATGAAATTGTATTGTTTGCAGGTAAATGGATGGAACTGGAGATCATCAAGTTAAGCGAAGTAAACCAGGTTCAGAAAGACATGTTTTCTGTCATATGTGGAAGCTAGACTTAAAAGATAAACGTATACATGATCATATATACATAGAGAGAGGGAACATATTTATAATTGGGGGAGGCAGGAGAAGAAAAGAGAATGATAGAGTGAATAAAATCTAAATCCATTGCGTCTGTGTAGGAAGATGGCACAATGAAACACACTGAAAGTTATTAAAATATGGGAGAGGAGGGAAGGGATAAGGGAGAGTAATAAAGGGGGTTAATCTGATGAAAGTAAAATATATTTGCGTGAAATACCATGCTGAAACCCCTTTGAACAAGGAATATACACTAAAAAACAATGATGAAAGACAGAAATGTTTGTTTGAAGGTAGGTATTAGTGGGAGGAGGAGGGTGAATATGGTCAGTGTACTCTATATATGAAAATAGAACAATGAGACAATTTTTAAATTGCTTTAAAAGGGGGAACGGGGTATAGGATAAGGATGGAACGAATATAACCAAGGTACTCTGTAAAAATATGTGAAAATGTCACAATGAAACCCCTGTACAACTAATATATGCTAATTGAAATGCAATCATAATAATAAGGTTGGGGCATGGAAGGCATGGTTTCTGAGATCAGTGCCATGGGGATGAAGCCAAATACTGGCCACAGGAAAGAGGCCTGAGGGCATCTGAGGACTCTTCAAGCCTTCACACACTGCAGGCTCAAGGGCGAAGGGGTTACCTCATTTGAAAGACTCTCCCTTGAGAGCAGGCACTGCCAGGGCACACTGCCCACATGGGGCTGCCTCGGAAGTTGCTTCCCCATGACTCATGTCACTGTGTTCAGCCATCTAGATACTTAGAGGCCAACACAGCCATAGTCCAAGGGGACCAAGCTACTGCTCAAGCTGGCAAAGACCTTGGTGTCATCTAGCTGCTGCTGGTTTTGCAGGCCTGCAGAGTGCAAGACTTACAGGGTCATGGAAGCTTCCTACAGACTTCAAACGAAGGTCTCTGAGGCCAAGAAATGTGTGGCAGTGCTGGAATTCCTGCAGACAACCCCTGAGAGGATGTTGGGAGAAGTGTGAGAGTGAAGCTGTAACTAGGACCAAGCACTTTTGGTGGAGCCAGCTTGCATGCTGGCCAGTTTGTTCTGCTTGTCAATCAAACTCACATTTTGCCCCTTTGTCTGCATGTTGGAGAACCCAAGATTAACTCCCATGACTCTTCAGTTAAACCAGGCCTCTTCTACCCCTTATCTCTCTCTGACCACCAGAGAACTAAACCTATCAGCCAAGACATACAGTTTCGGAGATGTGGCACTAGTAAACCTGTAGAATCGTGGCCAGTACCTATGTTGGAACATGCATTTTGTCGCATCTTGAACT